TTAAAGCTGTAACTTGCTCTGACAACTTGTTCTACATTATAAGTCTTACCTAAAAGATTACCACAATTGTTTTGTTTGTTTTGTTTCAGCAGCCTTTGCTGAAGGCTCCGCAATGTAGATTCATTTGTCTTTTTAGGTAGGTAGATATTTTTAAGCACCCAACTTCCTCTCCGGCCTGCTAAAATCAAGCTGGTGTGCATGTTATTGTGCACAGCAGAGGCTGCAAGGGATGGTACACATTTTCTGCACTCTGGAAACAGAGGCAATGGCACACTTTGGAAGCCTTTGTTTAAAAGGTTTTTAGAAGCCATTTTGAAAGGCCTACAGTTATTTTGGGGCAGCATTAAGTGTTGGCTGGACTTTCCTGGCAATATTAAGAATTAGGTACTGGTCTGTTAAGTGTAAGGAGGGGATGTCCAGATGATGTCCGTGTTCAGGTCAGTTTGAGTTATTCCTTAGGAATTAGTTCTACAAGAACTCCATTTAATGCTGTTCAGAATGAAAATGTGAATCAGGGCGAGTAGTGCAGGTACATCTGTAGCATCACACTTCCTTATTTTTACACAGCAATACAGAGATGGATGCAACTCCAGTGTAATTGTGAGTAGTGCTCAGCCATGCTGGCATCACGCGGCAGGAGCACCTATGGCCATATCTAGCAGGGACGTGGGAATGAACAGTGTCCACCTACCACACTCCAGGTAACTGACACCTCCAGTTTTAAGCTTGATTTGAGCACTTTTACCACTTCCTGTCTGAAATTCTTTACCTTGTTCCAATTGCACCTGTATCACCTGCACTTGAGATGCTCTCAGTGCCCTGAGCTACAGCACCCTCCTCAGAGGCACACTGCAGAGGCAGCAGCAGTGCCCAGAGCACATCACTCCCACCCTGCAGCAGCAGAGCTGCTAGGAAGGCACTGTGTCAAGCCTTAGCCCCACAAACAGCAAGGTCAGAGCCCCTTTAAAGGTGACCTGGGATGGAAAGAAGTGCATTTGTCCCTTTCTGATGGATAAAAAGACCTAAGAAAATCCGTTCTTCCTATGTTTTTCCTTCTTTGTTTCTGCTGAAGGTCTGTGGCATCTCTTTAACTTCCAGAAAGACTTTTGAACTGAGCTGAAGGGGATGATTTTCTAGTCATTTTCTAATGTTACAGGTCTTGATTCTCTCCATTCAGCACTCTCCCACGTGCAGTCATCCTAAATGGAAGTTAGGTATGAACCTAACTTGAACAAGTTCTTACAGAGCGTGTTCTGGAGCAATGCTCCACCTCCAGGGGGTCCAAACCCCCCTCGTTCATCGAGCTCTGTAACCTTTCAGCCAGCATACATGGATGTTCTGAGCAGATGCAGAGCACTGTGATGCACACAGGAAATGATTCTCTTGGCTGCAAACTGCGAATGCAAGGGCTGGTTTCGCTTTCACTCTGGAGATGGCATGGGGTTGGTAACACTTTGTTCATCTCTAATTGGGGGGTTGGACTCGATGACCTCTGGAGGTCCCTTCCAACCCCTACGATTCTGTGATTCTGTGATTCTGTGAAAACCTTTCTCCACATACAATAAAATAGGAAGTTATGCGCTTCTCAATACGGTTTTCCACCTCTAACTTCTTTTGGAATTTCTTGTTATGGAAAAAGTGTTTCAGGGCTGACTGGAGATATTGTAAGCATAGCCTAAGTAAGAATTACTACCTGATGTTTTTTCTCTGCTACTTTCTGCCAGTGTGAAATGAGAGGTTGCAATCTAGGGGAACAAGGAGCTGTGATGGCATTGCACTGCACTGCTGCAGTGGCTGCCATCGTTACATCCCTGTGCAGGCACTCCTACACCATTACCCATTGCTGCACTGTGTTCCATGGTGTATCAGTGCCTGTGGGCTGTGTGCCTCAGAGCAGGGCTGTGCTTGGCAGAGAGCTGTGGCCTCTGCTGGTGGCCTCCTCTGGCAATGTCCTCCCAGCACTGGAAAGGTACAGGAAAAAACCTGCTGTTATTCAGACTGAATGCTGTTGAATTTAAGGGATGAGTTCAGTAGAGAAAGCTAAAGGGTTTTTAATCTCTTGGGGCAAAATATGTATACAAATGTTGCCAACTTCCTAAAAACGTTTTCTCCTGGAAATGATGGCTGGAGCACAGATCTGGCAGGAGGGAAAAGGGGAGGAAATGGCAGCAGAAACCCAGCGTTTGCTGTCTTGTAGGACGGACCGGGAATTCTACTGTGCGAGGCGTGCATTGGTGGTTCAGTGGTAGAATTCTCGCCTGCCACGCGGGAGGCCCGGGTTCGATTCCCGGCCAATGCAACGGGTGCTTTTTGTTTTCTCTCCGTTACTTTTCCCTTGCAAGGCGTTATTTATTTACTCGTTTGTCTTTCATTTCGACAAAAAGCAGTTCGCTTTTTAAGGCCGGAGAAGCTGCAGCTTCTGCTGTCCCGGCCTCCCCGAGGACTCGCCTGAAGCGCACAGCGGTGCTGCGGGGCAGAGCCGCACCAGTCGCGGCGGCTGGAGCGTCCCGCAGCTGGGGAGAGAGGAAAAAAAAAAGCACTCGAAGCGAAAAGAAACCGCTGGAGATGCCGGGGATTGAACCCGGGACCTCACACATGCGAAGCGCGCGCTCTACCACTGAGCTACATCCCCGGCTGTGGTGAAACTACTGCGGGGCGCTATGAGAGGGCGGACCGCTGCGCGGGGCCGGGCCGAACCCAGCCGGGAGCAGCGCACTGCGGCCAGCTCGACCCCTCGAGCCGGCCCCGCTCGCCCCTCCCTGTCCCCGGGCTTCCTGGCACAGCCCCGCCGCCCCGCTCCGTGCCCACGCCCCGAGGGCCGGCCGCCCTCCTACTGCTGGTGCCCCGTGGAGGCTCCTGACGGGTGCTGTCCTCGGGGATCCGGGCTGTTGGCCAAAACGTTCCGCTGTTTGCTGGGCGGTGCGTTCCGACCGGCTCCCCTTCGTGCTGCCTGCAGTGGTCCCGTGTGTTAGTGCACGCATCTCTGCAGCATGTCTTGTCTCGGACTTCCCATACAGGGTGCTCCCTCACCCTTACCGCAGAGTTGTTCTGCCACATGTTAGTATGACGCTTCCTATGTCCAAGTTTTAGGCCATCGCTCCTTGTCCTGTCGCTACACACCACCAAGAAGAGCCTGGCCTCATCCTTTTGCTTCCCGCTCCCTTTAGATATTCATTAACATTAACCAGATCCCATCCCAGCCTCCTTTGCCCCAGGCTGAACAGCCCCAGGTCTCGGAGCCTTTCCTCACAAGGAAGATGCTCCAGGCCTTGTGCCGTCTTTGTGGCCCTCCACTGGACTCCTTCCAGGAGATCCCTGTCTTTTCCCCCACGTTACACAAAGAAGATCTGATGTGCAGTTGGTATTAAAGCAAAGCAACGTCTCTACTGTAGCTAGATCTAAATATCCTCCAGAGCACCGCCCACCAAATGCAACATCAATCGAATTATTCAGGAAAGGCTCGACGTGAGCATCCTACATGAGGAAATAAGACGCCTTGCGCTGAGCTATAAAGTAAAACAGAAGGAGTCCTTTATGGACGTGAATCTCCTCAAGCCTACCAGCACTGCCAGCAGTGCCCCCGCACACAGCCCTGCCTGCCGACAGCTGCCTGCAGCCCCTGCTTCCAGGAAACACTTGGTCATCCCGTGCGGTTTCTAATTCTGCTGGGTGCCCTGGCACGGTCCCAGCATTCAGCTCTCTCAAGGGCCCTCTCATAGCACTACATTCACCTCTTTGTGTTTGGGTTTCTTTGCTGACATCAGGGAAAAACAATGTCGCCGTTCTCAGCCATCCCTCCGCTCGTTCCTCAGTGGCATTAACTCGTTCCTGTAGCCCAGTGCCATGTGTGGCAGGACCTGCCTCCTCCTGCAGGATCCCATTTCATTGCATCTGTTTGCAATTCTGCATTTTCCATCAATCCCTGTTAGACACACATTGACATTCACTCTGTATTTCCTGCAGCCATTTTTCCCCTGATGGAGCTGATGGACCCCTCTCATTCAGCCCAAAAAGAGCCCAGTTCCAAAGTTACCTGGAGCACAGACTGCTCGAGTGACTCCAACACAACTGTGGGAGAGGGGCGGTTCTTTCTGGTGCAGTTCCCAATGACTGCGCTTGCTCCCAGGATCAAATGTTTGCACTCAGAAGTCCTTTTTAAAATAGACACATTGGTTCAGTGAAAGACAGGGCTAAAATGCAGCAGCATAAGACAAACATACGAACGGTGCTCATCTCATCGGTGCTGTTTGCCATCCCCATCCATTGCCCCATACCACTGCAGACTGGCCAGGCCCAAACAAGCTCTGAGGACGTGCCTTCCTCCTGTATGACTGGGAACCAAAGCACTGTGTGCACTGTCTCCTGGAAGCCTTGAGCTACTGCTAGATGCTGTGCTACTGGCACCAGGCATTGATAAATATGCAGCTAACGTCATTTTTCTTCTACCATATGATCACACTGTCCACTCGTTTTCAAGCACTCGGGTGATTATTCACGGATCTCTTGCATTATTGATGCCTTATTTAGCATTCCTGTCCTCCTGCAGAAAACACTCCGTCAGAGATCAGAAAGATGTAACCGAAGTGACAAATTTCAGGGCCCAGGAACACTGCCTGCGTACTTACAGCACTCACCAAACCATCTTTCGATAATAAATGTGTTGGGAAAAATAAATGAGGACAGATTTGTGATTTGCTGTTAAACAGCTACAAAATTTTCCAACTTTTGCACTTAGCAAATAGTTCCTACCTGATCAGAGAACGCAGTGCTCAGAGCTGCACTCAGGCAGTTCTGCACGTGTGCTAGGCTGGCTTTCAATGAAGTCGCACTCATAATTCCTCCAAATACAAACCACTTTTTCTCCTTTATTTTTATAGCTTTTCTTTTTGTTAAGTCCCTTATTTGTTGCGGTGGACTGCCTGAAATAGAGGAATTCCATTTCAGGAGCTCTGTTGTTGGTCTCCAGGCATTCAGTATGTGCCATAGAATCTATGTGCTCACCTGGCTTTGGTTATTCACACTGAATAGCAGGAACTATGAAAGTTAGAGTGGAAAAAAGGAGATTAAAAGGCAGAAAATGGGATTAAAGCTGCGAGCTGGGAGATTCATTGGGGTTGTAGACAGAGAAGTGATAGCGCCACAGAAATTATTTGGCTGACAAATTAATTACCCAGTGTTACAGTGGTTTTCTCATCCGAATTCAGCCCTTCAGCGAGAGGAACCTCAGCTGTTCTCCAGTATAGTCAGAGGGGGACGTGAGCAGTCCAGGACCTGAAGCAAACAGGAACTGGTTGTAAAGCTCAGACGGATGGGCTGCACCAACCACACACCTTTGCACAGATTATCAAGCTGATGCATCCAGACAGATAAAGGCAGCTCCAGCTCACAGTGCTGCCCGTGAGGCCGGGACAGAGGCTGCTCTGTCAGCCAGCGTGGCACAGCCCTTCATGTTCTGTGCAGGGAATGTCCAACTACGACACCCTGGAAAATACCACAGCCCTGCAAAAGTGCACTGCTGCTGTTATGGTTGAGCACTGACCTCTTCTAGGAGCCTTCTCACTCCATGACCGCAGTTCTCGCTCTGTCCCAGCATGCAGAAGCAGAACATGGAAGAAAAAAAATAAAAAAAAAGTATTAGTTTCGGTTTGTTTAATAAGTGTCATATTTTTAAGGAGGAGATAATCTGAATTTCTTCTTGGAACTAGAGTTCTTTGTTGTTCCTGGAGGTTTGGAAATGTAGATATGTGTCTCCATTGAATCCCATCACCTTCTGCTGGTAAGTAGCACACAACCCGCTCACACAGCCAACCTGAGCCACGATATCATTCCAAGTATTAGCTAAGGCCTTTTCTGGTGATCTGGCATTGCACAGCAAGAAGGCAAAGCTCCTGTTCATCATCTGAGGTCAAACATCACTCCGAGTTCAGACGGCTGCAGAGCACTGCAGCTTCCTGCGCTCCATGGTCTCAGCATGGGAATCTCTTGCTTTGCTCTTCCTCCTGTTCTTCAGCTTGTGCCTGGAATCCAGAACAGAATTACTGCTATTATTATGGCTTTCAGAAAAAAGTGGAGGAGGTAAATATCTTGGGAGTAAATCGCTTTTAAAATTGAGGTGTGTAGGTCTTTAAGCTCATAAAATCGTGCAGCCAAACTGACCTGGAGTTGTAGCCTCATATTAACAACGCTCCTTTTGCACTTCATAATGATTGTTCATCACTGCTGATTGCAGCAGCCAACAATTTCTGCGGCGTGTGATGCTGACTTTGAATATCACTAAAAGCTTTGATTCCTGCATGGACAGAAAATGATGTTCAGCTGACGGTGGGTCTCTGCCCCACACCTCTCTCTGCTCTCCCATCCCACTGCCAGGCAGCCAGAGTGCAGCACGGGACCCTAAAAATAACTGCAGAAAAGCAACATCCACTGGCAGACAAGGAGTTGCTGATTGAACTGAGCAAAGCAGAAGTCTCGTTGGCAGTGGATGTGAGGAGCAGGGATGTGAGAGTGGGAGCTGCTGGGACGGAGCTGACTGGTGCTGCCAAGTGAGCACGCTGCCATCGGGGATGGGGTGCATTGGGCTGCTGTTAATCCCATGGCACAGCAGTGCGTGTCAAAGCAGTTCCCTGAAGTTACGTTCCCCGTCCCGGTGTGATGCTAAAATTACACAGAAAGTTGTAACAGAAAAAAATATTGAGACCTCGAAGTCAGACAAGAAGGAGCATTTTTCACTTCAGAGCTCCAATGAGATAAATCAGTGATAATAGCGAGATCTGAAAGCAGCATCTCACCTTATAGCTCTGAAATTCAGGCACCCGCTACAAAAAGGGCTTAGGAAGGATGGAGTGCACAGACCAGCTCTGCTCAGGAGATCGGAGCGCGTGCACTGCCATGTTCAACCCAGCACACAGCCCGGGTTTGGCTGCAGCAATGGAAAGGAGCTGCGACAGCAACACCCAGCCCTGCACCAGGACACCCAAAAAGCATCCACACCTCGTGCACACCGCTGTGGGACCCTCCACGAGGAGGGAGACCTGCAGGACACACAGCCCGGGCTGCAGGTGGTGGTCATCAGGTGTGGGCTTTGCTGCTCTTTGAGGACGGCTAATTGTGTTTTACTCGGTAATCAGAGGCTCTTACGGCAATTTTCCCCCTTCATCTTACCTTCCCAGACTCACCTGATTTAGATGCCACTCGTAATTAAGCACGCTATTAATAACAGCACTTGACTCAGGCCTCGAGCTGAAGGTATTTTCCAATTTTCCTCTGATTCCTTCATCAAAGTGACTCCCAGGAGCTGATGGGTGCACAGATAACAGAGGAGGGCAGCCCTGTATATGCCAAACACTGACAAGGTCTCAACAAAAACGCTCTGATCCCATCCACAGTCACTCCCTGTGCCTTTTCCCTTCACACCGTTCTGCACCCTGCATCCCTCCCCTCCAAAATCCACGTTTTTGGCTGTGCTGCTCGCAGAGCCCTGTGGCATCCCCCATCCCTGCAGTGATCCTGTATGATGGGGGCAGGTGCTTTGTTCTGTGGGTGTTTTTTAGATACCAGCATATCCAGTCTTCACCATCGATACATTAATAGGAACCTGGTCCATGGACTTGCCACTGGGAAGTATGGATAATTTAATAGGGATTTGACTAATGGAAGAATCGATTCATTTTTTTTTCAATGCTATCTTGGATTGGAATGCTGTGCTCTGCAAACTAATATATTTCTTCCTGCTTATCCCATCAATACGGGCTGATTTTGCTGGCTGTTGCATGGACCAAGTGAATAAATACGCAATCTAGATTTTTTACAACGCTTTTTATAATTAAAGTTCTGCCATCCAAAAAAAAACCAACTTCTTTTTACCTGCTAGTAACAGTCACAGCATCCCATTTTCACTTCAGTTTTGAGCTATGATTTTCATATTGAAGAACCAGAGCTCATTCAGTTAGACCTGCAGAAAGACAAACCCCACCAGCCTGCCCCTGTCCCACAAGCAGGCCACCAGTGTGGGCAGCATCCATCACTGGGGAGGGCTGGGGCTGCTCTCAGTGCTGGGGCAGAGTGGAATCAGTGCAAACCAGCTCCCTATGGCAGCCTTTAAAAGCGAGAAAGGAGCTCCATTTGCAGCTTGGACTTCATTTTTTCCGAAGCATTGGAAATAATTTACTTCTTATATAGCTCCTTCACACCCCATGCTAGAATCAGGAGGTCTAAAAAGCAAAATGATATTTTAATAGCGGCGTTCATAATTACAAACACCATTCTCCACACCAGCACTGTTTTCAATTAGCGAGCTGTGTGGATGGCTCTGCTCTCCCTGCCCTGTGCCTCCAACAGATGCTGCAGGCGCACAGCTCCTCGGTGCCTGTGCCACCATCCATGGCAACTCAGTGGTTCAGTGCTGGTCCCAGGGACCTCGTGAAAAGTACCCCCAAACTGTGGGAAGGGGCTCGCTTAAGGAAAGAAGTTAATTACACCACATTTCTGTGGGTGTTGGCAGTTAATACTCATAACGCAGGGAAAAAAAAAAAAAAAGGAGAAAAGAAAAAAGCCCAACAATGTGTAATTGTGCTATTTTAGAGCACTTGTGACATAAACACATCCCCCAAGTGCTGTTATTCTTGGTTTCCCAGGGCTGCAGAACAGCGGGCGGCTGTCAGCGTGCACCGCAGCCCCACATCCCGTGTGCCAAGCAGGCCTGAGGGATGGGAACACGGGGCAGCAGGCAGCTGGGCTGGGACACGAGGTGTGGGGATCTCACTGGCTGCTGGCTCTGTCCCCAGGCTGCCTGGGAACCCAGCTTGGTGGTGCCCAAATGCACCGAGCAGCTCAGTCAGGGTCTGCACGCAGCTCCGTGGCCTGCACATGTCAATGTGGGGAGAGAAGAGCCATTGCACCGCTGTGTGCTACTGGAAGCAAAGTAAGTTGCAGAGCTGAGCGCTGCAGCTGTCACTTCGGTGTCTCCTGCTGCATAGCTGGGCAGGCATTCAGTGCCAACAGCAGTGTGGGAGCCGGGATGCAGCAGCAGGGAGCTGTGTGAGTCCCTGCAGTGCAGTCACCACTTCGGGCATTTCCAACCCTTTCAGGAAGTCTCTGCCACGATAAAAACCCAAACTACGTATGTACTATAGCAGGGACGTGGGCGGCTGTTCCAGCACACAGACGCGTGCTTTATGTAAGAAAACTCCCCGGGCCCCCCAGCCCGCCGACTTTCCGGAGGACGCGAACCGTACCCGCGCCGCCGCCACTGCCTGCGGGGATCGCCGCGGGTCGGGCCGGGCCGCGCTCCCCCCGCTCTGCGCGCTCCCGACGCTCCGCACGCAGCTCCGCTCCCGACTCGTCCCGCGGGGCCGCGCCGCCCCCCTCCCCCCGGCCGTGTTGCTCCCTCCGTCGGGAAGCAGCGCTCGGTTCGGGCGGAGCGTCCCGCACAGCTGCATTTCTGGGAGTGCAGATGTTGCTAACGGCAGCTTAAGGCACGGATGGGCAGAGAGCAGATGGGCTGCGGCGGTGCCATATGGGCCGTTTAGCCTCTCGACCCGACGGGTATCAATCACGCGCGTCCCGGGGACGGCGGAGCGGCTCCGAGCGGCTGAGGAGCACCGGAGATCACCGCCAGCCCACGGACCGGGCAGCGGGGGATGCGAACGGACCGCGCTGCCGTGCCGAGAGAGCAGAGCCGGCAGTCAGCGCCGAACCGCCCGTGTGAGGGCCGGGCCCTGACAGCTGCCGAGCAGGCAGCCCACGGCTTCTCGTCCTGAAATACGGCAAACGGCATTATGGAGCCCGGAATAAAACCGGATAGCAGTGAGAACAGAACCGCGTGGCTGTGGGAAGCAGTCAGGGTGGTGTCAGGGGAGGGTCCGGGCACGGAAGGACAAATGATGCTCGTTCAGAAACGTAGGGAAATCTGAGGGCGGGGCTCCTCGTGCAAATCAGTGCGGAATGAGGCACCCAAGTTCGGGTTCCCCACCCCCGACGTTGTGCCACACTTGGGCCCCGCGGCTACCAGCACCGCTGAGCTCCTGTGCTCCTTCAGCTCCTGCACCGCAATGCTCTTTTGGGCCTGGGGAGTTCACAGATTCATAGAATGGCCTGTGTTGAAAAGGAGCACAGTGCTCATCCAGTTCCAACCCCCTGCTGTGTGCAGGTCGCCAACCAGCAGCCCAGGCTGCCCAGAGCCACATCCAGCCTGGCCTTGAATGCCTGCAGGGATGGGAAACGTTCGCCCCTTGCTGTATCACACGCAGCAATCCCATCCATCTCTGTGCTCCGATCAAACACACAACCACTGGGCCAGGCCTCCACAGGGGTATTCTCCAAAACCCAGCCCTGGCACTGCTGTGATGCACTCATCCTGGTGGGCTGCACACCAGCACTGGCTGGCAGCAGGTGACGCCCTTTGGGGTCACGGCATTTTGGCTTTGCAGCGTATGCAGGTTTAGCCCTTCCGTGTCTGAGCAGAACAGCTCAGCACTGCATCTCTGCAACCACCCGTGGGAGTCGTGATGGCACAGGGCTGCACACACAGCATGTGCACACGTGGATGCCCGTGTGTGCTGTCCCCGTGTGTGCCCATGTGTGCCCACGTGTCCCCAGGCAGACCA